TTTAAGGTAGACAAATTGATCACTACATTATCCTTAAAATCAATTTGGTGAGAAACTTCATGAAATTTTAAGATACCATTGTCGAGATGCCTGTTTTAGACCATATATGGACTTCTTAAGCCTACAAACCATATTTTTCCTGCTTTCATCCTGAAAACCTTCAGGTTGGTCCATGTAGACCCCTTCATGCAAGTCACCATTCAAAAGGGCTGTTTTAACGTCCATTTGATGTAACTCTAATCATAATGAGCTACTAAGGCCATGACTATTCTCAAGGAATCTTTATTAGAAAAGGGAGAAAGTTTCCGTATAGTCTATCCCTTCTTTTTGAGTGTATCCTTTAGCAACTAATCTGGCCTTGTATCGTTCGACATTGCCTTTAAGATCACGCTTGGTTTTAAAAACCCATTTGCATCCAAACATTTTGGCTTCCTAGGCAATTCTACAAGTTCCCAGACATTGTGTCTTTCATGGATTTTAACTCATCTTTCATGGCATTTAACCATTGAGTTGCATTTCCATTTTTCATGGCTTGGGCATAGAAACAGGATCGTTCTCCCAAGCCTATATCAAACTCATTTAGGTAAACCTCATAGTCATCTGATATGGCAGGTTTCTTTTCTCTTTGTGATCTGCGTAAAGGTTGTTTCTGCAACTGGGACAACTTCTTTTCAATGTGAGAAATCTCTTGTGTACCAATAGGTTCAGGTACAACATTTTTTTGGATAATCGTGGAAGGTGTAAAAATCACAATTTTCCTCCGAAGAAATATTTTTGAGATTCATACTCCCACTAATGTTTTCATCCTCTAAGAACACGGCATTTCTAGTTTCAACAATTCTAGTGCTATGAGTGGGACAAATAGAATCTAAAACCCCTTGATCTCTCAGGATATCCAATGAAATAACAACTTATAGTCCTAGGGTCTAATTTCTTTATTTGTGGTTGAAAATTTTTGCTTCAGCAGGACACCCCCATACATGTAAATAATTCAAATTAGGTTTTCCTACCAACCCACAACTCATAAAGGAGTTACAGGCACACCCTTACTAGGAACCCCTATTGTCTCTCTCTCTTTCTTTCTTTCTTTCTCTCTCTCTTTCTTTCTTTCTTTCTCTCTCTCTTTCTTTCTTTCTTTCTCTCTCTCTTTCTTTCTTTCTTTCTCTCTCTCTTTCTTTCTTTCTTTCTCTCTCTCTTTCTTTCTTTCTTTCTCTCTCTCTTTCTTTCTTTCTTTCTCTCTCTCTTTCTTTCTTTCTTTCTTTCCGAACCCAACATTGGTATGTTGCTCTCTCTCTCTCTCTCTCTCTCTTCTTTGTTACCCTCCAAAATACAACACGAAACAAAGAAAGATACCCACTATCCAACACCTAGAAGCAGAGACACACCAAAAGATAACCATCTGTTCTTCTCCTCTAAAAAATAAAAATAACACATCAAAGATTCAATCAAATTTCTCAAAAGAAATTTGAGAAACATTGGTGACAATGGAGGGTGGTGATAATATACTGAGAGTGAGTAGTGCTCGTTTGAGTAGTTCCAACATATGGAGGAACAGCGGGAGAGAAGTTTTCTCAAAATCTTTTCACGATGAAGACGACGAAGATGCTCTGAAATGGGCTGCTCTGGAAAAATTACCCACTTATCAGAGGATTCAGAGAGGTATTTTGACTGAAGAACAAGACCATGCAAGAGAGATTGACATCAAAAAGCTTGGAGTGATTGAGAGAAAGAATCTGCTGGAGAGGCTTGTGAAAATCGCAGAGGATGACAATGAGAAGTTCTTGTTGAAGCTCAAGAAACGCATTGACAGGTAATCACAAATTTTTTTTTTTTTTTGGGGGGGGGATTTTAAGATTGTAAATTGATCTGGGTTGTTGATGTAATTGTATTTGAAGCACTTAATTATTATTTTTTTTTTTGTGTGTCTCTGTTTTTTTTGGTTTTTAAAAAGTTAGGATTGATCTTCCCACCATTGAAGTCCGGTTCAAGCATTTGAATGTCGACGCAGAAGCTTATGCTGGCAGTCGAGCACTTCCAACAATTCTCAACTTCTCCATTAATATTTTTGAGGTGAATTTTCTCAATCAGATCACATAAACATGTTCATATCTGTGTTGTAATTTGTAAATTGAACTAACCCTGTTTTCTCTCTCTGTTTCTCTCTGTTTTAAAAAGGGGTTCTTGAATTACCTCCATGTGCTTCCAAGTAGGAAGAAACCATTATCAATCCTTCATGATGTTAGTGGAATCATCAAGCCTGGAAGGTGAGGATAAAATTTTTAAGTCCCATTGTCTGTTATTTGTTATAGATTAACCTAACAACATAGTTCTCAACCCCATTGATCTTGTTTTTGCAGAATGACATTGCTTTTGGCCCCACCAAGCGCTGGAAAGACATCATTGCTGCTTGCTTTGGGTGGAAAACTTGATTCAGATCTAAAAGTAAGAAAACAACTACTAGTTCATTTTTTTTTTTAAAAACCAAGTAACTATATCTGGTTTTGTTGTTAAAATTTATTTATTTTTAAATATTATAAAATTAATTTGGTAAAAAATAATAATAATAAATTCAAAAGCAATCATCATCTTGATTTTTTTTTTGTTGAAAAAAAAATAATTTTTAAAGTTTCAAAACATCTTTTTCTGTTTATTTACACCAAACTAATTTTAAGTATTTTTCATAGAACAATTGCTGAAAACTGAATAGGGGACTTGTTATTGTAAGAATTTTTCCTAAATATGGCTTAATGTGGCTTATGTATAATTATACTAGATTCATCTCATTAAGTAAGATACATGTACATCAATTAGATGGTGACTAATTATTGATGAATGTACCTATATATACAATGTATAGAAGACTAATGCTAATGTACATTGAATGTGATGAATTCATTATGAATGAATCTTAGAGATGCACATTGAATGTGATGGATTATGAATGAACCTTAGAGATGCACATTGTATCTATTATGAATATGTAAGATACATTAGTCTTATCTAATGAATTCATTAAATATAAAAGATGCATTATGTATCATGAATGTATAAGATACATTAATCTATTTAATGAAGTTCATTGAATGAATGGTTCTTTGATGGGAAGAATATTAGTATAAATAGTGTAAGGTCCCAAACCATACTCTCTATCAAAAACTTAAGTTGTCACCACATGAAGGCTCCCATCGCCTAGAGAGAGAGAAGTGGTTTGAAGATCTTAGACAAGTCAAGAACTTAAAGATCAAGATCTTCCATTCAAGATTTCTTTTTCTTAAAAGAGGATTTCATACTATCATGGATCAAGGTATGTATTCACTTATTTTGTATATTAGAAATTCATATAGTTTTCATGTATGGAATTGAATCCTTAATGTTTTTTAGTTTAAGTTCTGCAAAGTTTTCTATCACTAGTATGTTTGTATAACAATCCACAACTTGTACTGTTTTTCCCTCTAGCACTTACTATTATTATTCTACTGTTAATCCTTGCTTTCTACATAATTATGGTGACATGTATGAAACAATAGGAATATATGAATTTGACAAATTCTATTATTTTAACTTACTATATTCTTTCAAAAAATTATTCCAAGTATTAGAAAAATATTCTTGTTTTTATCATTGTAATTATATTATATTATAGTGTTATGTAAGAAATGTTACAATTCAAATTTCGTAGAAGAAGTAATGTATGAATTGGAGTATCTGATACTCAAAATTATGTATCTAATACTCCAAAATTAATTAAAAAATATATGATACTTTAAATAAGTATACATGATATCGAAGAAATATCGATATCCAATATAGATACGACATATACATCTCCCTTTTTGAATATCCGTGCTTCATATATCAAAACCATAATAAACTCAAATCTGATAAAAGTAATATATATATACTAGTGTATGCCCGTGCCTGAAGGCACGGTGCAATTAATAATGAGATTAAAATATAAATCAAAATAAAATTATTAAAACATAATGTTAAGATTTTCCTTTTCAATGGTGTTGGACAGTCACAGAGCGGAGGTGACGATGAGTCTCTTAGTTCAACACCCATTTCAAAAACTTTTTCAAACTTTCTTAAGTTTTGCGAGTAAATTTTAATTTTTACTATAATGCTATTATATGTATTAAAAATTCAGCTCATTAAATTTATTTAAATTTTTATTAAAAAATTAAAAAATTAAATGTTAGTATTTTATGATGAAATGTCTTCAAATTATTCTAATATCAAAGTTAATATTTTTTATTAAAATTATTAATTTTATTGAATTTATATTAAAAATAATACATGATATAGCGGTTTGGTTTGATTTTTTAAATTATTTTTTGATTTTTTTGAAAAAATAGAAATTAATTTGACAAAAATAAATTGTTTGGTTTGGTTTTTCAAAAATTGTTTTAAAGGTATTTTCATTTATTTTATTGGATTTTATTTATTTTTGTATTTTACTCATTTTTTTGTACTTTTTAAATGCACCTAATCTTATTTATTTTTGTATTTTACTCATTTTTTTGTACTTTTTAAATGCACCTAATCTGAATATATTTGAAAAGTAAAACAAATTGAATAAAATATTAAAAAATTCTAACAATAAAAAAAATTCAAACAAAAATCTGTGCATTTTTATTTGGATTTTGTTTTTTTTAATGATTTTTTTTCGTATTTTACTTTTTAAATGCATCTAATTTTGATATATCTAAAAAGTACCCCCAAAAAAATGACTAAAATATGGAGGAAAAAAAATTGAGTAATAACAAACAAAAACCAGTCTAAAAATAATTTCTGAAAAATTAGACCAAACAAATATATTTTCAACACCCATTTCAAAAACTATTTCAAAATCATAAAAAATCAACACTCATTTTCTATTAGGGAATTAAATCCATTTCATAAATCAAACTAAAATCAAAACCCATTTTATGAAGATCAAATATTATTTCGGATCCAAAACTTTTTAAAAAATTAAATCCAAACCCTACATTAAAAAAAAAAATCTATATAAATAAAGAACAAACAAAACTTTAAAAAAAAAAAAAAACAAACAAACAAACACATCTTAAGGTTAGAAACACACAACCCAAAAAGCCTTTGATGCCCCTCATTCTCTCTCACCAAAAGCTATCATCATCATAAAAAAAAAAAACCCCAAATACATCTGCCTCGCTGTCATCATCATCATCAAGAGTTTATAATGTTTGTACGTACTTGCAATTGCTGCTGCTTTCTCGTCCTCAAGAGTTGTAGCAAAACCATTGATATCTTGAGAGTAAGAGTAAAATATTGCCTCTTTGGCCTTCTCACTACTGCACCAACATTATAAAGGGGATGTTTAGTTTAGTTTTTTTTTTTTTTTTTTAAAAATTATTTAGTTTTTTTTTTTTTTTTTAAAAAAAATTTATTTATTTTTGTTTTTAGTGAATTTTTTTTTCATATTTTTTAAAAAGTTTTAAATTTTTAGATTTTACTTGTTGAGATGAACTGAAATTTTTTTAAAAATTCAAAAAATACAATTAATTATTTTGGCATTTTCATTTTTTTTTTTAATTTAAAAATTCATCTACACAAGATTGACCAAAAATATTTTTAAAAAAAATTACGTAATTAAGAATTCATTAAACATAAAAATAAAGAATTCAAAAAAAAATTGTAAGTTTTTTTTAGGGTGATGATTGAGACCCCCTCCAATCACCACCCCCACCACCGAGGAGAATGGAAAAAAAAGAAAAAAGAAAAAAAAAAGAAAGAAAGTGACCAATCAATTGAAAAGCGGGTCAAGGGGGTGGGAAAAAAATAGGGCCCAAGTCATTATTGTTTTTTTTTATTATTTTTAAATTTGAAAAAAAAAATGTGACTTGTATAGTTGTTCCCATATACAGAAGTAGAGATATAATATACCAAATTCCATACCTTCCCAAGAAGGATGCAAGAAACTGGCAATGTGAATCTTTCACCTTGCTAACAGTAGCCTCCGCATCTTCTAGTCCATGTGAATGCACTCCCATGTACACTATATATGACTGTATTTGATATGTTAATAAGCATCAATTAGATGGAAAAAAAGAAGGGAAAAAAAAAACTGTCCATAAATTGGACATTAAAAGAAACAATAAAAAATATAATTATGGGATATACATTGAATTGCAAGGTAAAAATTTTCAACCATACTGGATTTCAAAATTTAGAGGAAGCCAAATTACCAGTTTGGCTGCAAAAGACGGCGTTTGGAAGAAAAGAAAGAAAAGAATGAATAGAGCAAGGAAGTGTGAGAGTTTTGAAAACGACATTTTTGGTTTCTCTTAATCCAAAATTCCTTTTTTGTAGGGAGTGGATGGGTGTGTTTTGAAATTTAAAATGTAGAAAGGTGAGGTGCGAGAGATAAGATAAGGATGGGTGGTTGCAAAATTTGTGGTTCTTGGGCGGAAAATTCAAGTAGGGTGAGAGAAAAGGTTTTCATCTCAGCTGTTCATCTAAATATATAAATGAATCAGGACCATTAAAATGTCCTAGTAAGACAATTGTCTCTAACATATTTTCAAAAACCTTTGTGCCTTATTATATCTATCTATACTATATATATAACCAAATGTAGTGTTTTCTCAAAAGGCTCCAAAAACCTATTCCTAAATTCTCATAATTTTAGAAAAATAAAAAAATATGTGGCACCTCCCTTTACTTCTCTTCCTACTATTCAGGCCTTTTCACTCCATCTCCCTATAATAAAATATAAAATTAAAATAAAATAATAAAATATTCATTTTGTATCCATATTCATCTATATCCATCACCCACAACTCCCACATCTATATTCATCCATATCCACCCATAGAAATATTTGAATTTTAAAATTTCTCCCCATAGATAAACATATAAAAATTTATAAAAAAATAATTTCATGGTCTACAAATAAAGATAAAGATTAAATAATTGATTTACATAATTAAAATAATAAATTTAGATATATATATATATATATATATATATGATTTATTAATCTATATATATTAAAAAAAACAAAAAAAATAAAATAAAACATATATATCCAAATCTTTGTTTTGATTTAATAAAACAAAACAAAAAGCTCGAATTTTCTACAGCGCCATGAAGCTATTGAACAATTCTGTTCTTCTTCTTCCCCTCTAATTAACAAGCCTTACATGATGATGAATTCATTGGGTATTCTAATGGGTGATTTTGGCATTTTGACGAATGAGTTACAAGATGGAAAGGCTAGAGATTCAACAACAGATTCTCTAGAGTCACTTGATTGCTTACTTTTAGCAACCAACAGCAACACTGATACATCAGCTGGAGATGATCATGGAATCTCCATGATATTTCCACTATTCAGGCATTTTCACTCCCGTTCTTCTTCTTCCCCTCCAATTAACAGGCCTTACATGATGATGAGCTCATTGGGTACTCTAATGGGTGATTTTGGCATTTTGACGAATGGGTTACAAGATGGAAATGCCAGAGATTCAACGACAGACTCTCTAGAGTCACTTGATTGCTTGCTTTTAGCAACCAACAGCGACACCGATACATCAGTTGGAGATGATCATGGGATCTCCATGATACTTCCATTATTCAGGCATTTTCACTCCCTCTCCCTGTAATAAAATATAAAATAAAAATAAAATAATAAAATATTTGTTAGGTTTTATTTCTTGGCAAACCCGTTTGACAAAACTCCTTTGAGTTGTAATTTTATTCGCATTGTTATTTCAGTAAGACTTTGAGTGTTTAGATGTGAATCCAACCCGAATCAAGCATTTCAGAGAAGTTTGTGTTGATAAAGCTTTCAAGATTGCCACTTCGCTGATTATGACGGGGATCCCCCGAAGCAAAATGCAAAAATGCATTCAAAGTTGCCTGTTCGATCATGTTATATTTTTCCAGTTTTTCCAGTTTTGGCCTGTCCGCTCGAGCGGGGCAACGGGCGCTCGAGCGGGGTTTGCGAACTTACAGTATCTCTGCAGTCGCCTGAAAAAATACTAGATGGTGTGATTCGCCGCTCGAGCGGCAAAACCGACGCTCGAGCGTGGAGCTTGTATGAAATCACAGAATTTGAAGTCTCCGCTCGAGCGGGGAAAAGGGCGCTCGAGCGGACCACGCGATCCCAGATTTCCAGATTTGATTAAAGAGTTGGTTTTCTTCTGAAATTAGGATTGTTTTGGTTTTCTATAAATACTTGGTTTTCTCCCAAAACCAAGTGGATTGATTGAGACTTCTCCAGATCTTATTTTTGGATCTTAAGGTTTATATCTGGAGAGATTTTTCTAGTTTTTCTTTGATGTTTTGATTGAGTCTTCAACTCATGTTCTAAAGAGAGTACATCAAAGGTTGTGTTTTGTTCTACAAAAGAGAGATTTCATCTTCTCCATTTTTATGCTCCTAATATTATTTCTTATTTTATATGCATTTTTTTCAATGTTTATTATTTGTGTGTACATATTTCTTTTTTCCAATATTTTTCAATTTATTTACACATCTTAATCATATTCGATTTGTTTTCTTTTTCCTAAATATTTTTCAGTTCATCCACACATCTTTTCATCTTCTCCATTTTTATGCTCCTAATATTATTTCTTATTTTATATGCATTTTTTTCAATGTTTATTATTTGTGTGTACATATTTCTTTTTTCCAATATTTTTCAATTTATTTACACATCTTAATCATATTCGATTTGTTTTCTTTTTCCTAAATATTTTTCAGTTCATCCACACATCTTTTCATCTTCTCCATTTTTATGCTCCTAATATTATTTCTTATTTTATATGCATTTTTTTCAATGTTTATTATTTGTGTGTACATATTTCTTTTTTCCAATATTTTTCAATTTATTTACACATCTTAATCATATTCGATTTGTTTTCTTTTTCCTAAATATTTTTCAGTTCATCCACACATCTTTTCATCTTCTCCATTTTTATGCTCCTAATATTATTTCTTATTTTATATGCATTTTTTTCAATGTTTATTATTTGTGTGTACATATTTCTTTTTTCCAATATTTTTCAATTTATTTACACATCTTAATCATATTCGATTTGTTTTCTTTTTCCTAAATATTTTTCAGTTCATCCACACATCTTTTCATCTTCTCCATTTTTATGCTCCTAATATTATTTCTTATTTTATATGCATTTTTTTCAATGTTTATTATTTGTGTGTACATATTTCTTTTTTCCAATATTTTTCAATTTATTTACACATCTTAATCATATTCGATTTGTTTTCTTTTTCCTAAATATTTTTCAGTTCATCCACACATCTTTTCATCTTCTCCATTTTTATACTCCTAATATTATTTCTTACTTTATATGCATTTTTCAGTGTTTATTACTTTTGTGTGTATATATTTTTTTCTCAATATTTTTTAGTTCATCTACACATCTTTTCATCTACTCCATTATTACATTTTGCATAGTTTGGGCTTACTTGCTTTTTAATTTGTGGTTTGCATTTATTCTTCAATTTAATCAAATTTGATTTATTTCTTCTCATATAATAGTGTTGATATCTTCTTCGACTTTTATAAACCCTTTTTTTTACATATCAAAAATAGTTCACCTAAATTCAAGAAAATTAGATGTCTATCACATAACTTAAATAAATTAAAATAAATCTCACTCTCAGTTAAATAAATTAATAAAAAAATATAAACCTGCAAATATGTTTTCAATGTCTTTCACATTATTTTTCTTAAAAAAATTCACAAAGTCTAAACCCACAAAATATATATCTATATATAAATTACAAATATCCAATGTCTATCATATTATTTAAAAAAAAAAAAAAAACTCATGAATATCTGTAAATTAAAAACATATATACAAATTACAAATATCTAATGTCTATCATGTTATTTAAAAAATAAAAATAAAAAAAAATCCACAAGTCTTATTCATACAATTTACGCATGCATATCCATCACCCACAATTCACTCAATCAGGTATCTATCACGTAAAATTCAATACAAATCCACAAAAGACACTGCTTTGTGTTTATTTTGTAATTTAAAAAAAAAAATCTTAAAATAAATCTAAATAGAATCCTCTTTTTCCTTTGTGTCCCCCCCCACGTACAACAATAATTTGGTTATGTTATCTTTTTCTTATTTTAAAATCATTGTGTTATAATTTTTTTACAAAAAGTTACATTAGCTCCTCAATAGATGGATGTTGTATAGTAGATTTTTTTTTTTTAATATATCTACAATAAACAATGATACTTATTGAGATTTTTTACTCTTTATCTTTTGTATTCCAGGTACTATCGAGCTTGCTTATCTTATTCTTTATGTAATTGTATGTCAAATGTGTTAAATTCATTATGTAGATAAATATACAACATCCTCTAAATTTGCGTCATATATATTGTTTGGCCATGTGAAATGCCATAAATGAATTTCAAACTGTACTACATAAAGAGGATTTACTAGTAGAAAATATTGATGATTGGAAAATCAAAATATGTTGGGCAATGCAAAAATTAGGAAAAAAAAATAAGTGAAAAATATTTGATGGAAACAATATTACCATCGAGCTAGAATAAAGTAAAGGGAACAAATTTTGAAAAATTTATATAAACACTCCTCATAAGGTAATATATCTTTTTTTTTTTTTTTAAGTTCATTTGTATGTAAAAAAATGTTAAACATTTTTTTTTTCTTCTTCTTATTTTTTTAGCAAGCACTTTCTGGGGCATTTGGACACGATGAGCAATATTTATTGAGTTTTAATTTATCAAATATAGATAGATTTAATTTATGACATTCAGTTTATTATTAGTTTTTTAGAATATATATGTTTTAAATATTCGGTTCATTGAGAAACATCTTATTTATTGTTAATTTCATCAATTAGAAATCAAATTTATTATTTCAAGAAAAATATATCAGTTGGATGATTATAATATTTTGTAAATATTTGTTTTGAAGTATTATTGTCTTTACTTATGAAATTTGAAAAGATGATCCATATGCATTATGATTATAATTTTATGATTTAAATTAGAACTTAATGCATTATTAAAAAATTTATACATTATTAAATCAATCTTGTGCATAGCAAGGGTTCACCACTAGTATATATATATATATATGTACAAATATGGTCTACATTCACAATCTCGTCTTGATGAATGCGGCTATTTGGGAACTCCCAAATAAGCAACATATTTTTCTTTTTCTTTTTTTTGTCTTCAGTGTTTTTTTTTTTTTTAAATTAAGTCAATATTTTTTTACTTCTCTGATCTGTCTTGTGTAGACAAATTTAAAAAGTAATATTTTTTTAAAAAAAATTCAAAAAGACAAAATAAGCAAAAAAAATATTTTTGATTTATTTTTATCTTGTTTGGACTTTTTTTTCAAATTTTTTAAATTTTTTAGTCCATCTCATCGAGTAAAATATAAAAACCTATTTTTTTTTTAATTTTTAAAAAAAGTTCATTAAATAAGAAAAACCAACAACAACAACAACAACAACAACAACAACAACAACAAAAAAAAAAAAAAAAAAAAAAAAAAAAAAAAAAAAAAAAAAAAAAAAAAAAAAAAAAAAAAGCCAACAATCCTTGCGTAGGCTGGATTCTTTAATCGGCAGACAATTCTACGATCCTATCAAACTTACTAGACCAAATAATTTCTATTGGTCTACTACGAGCTCACAGCCAAAATCAACCATTAGGTAGGTTATCGGGGTCCAGGGCCAAAATCAATAACGTATGGCAACTCATCCTAAAGTGCTAATTTAACAATTATCTACTAATTTTTTCTAATAAAAAAATGTATGGACAAGACAAATCTATTACTTTCCAACATTTAATCATTTTTTCAAACTTTTTCAAGAGTCATCTTTTCAATTTCCCATTTCAATATGTTGTACTTAGTCAATTTTACTATTTTATTCATACTATATTAAAAGTCATGAAATAAAAAAAAAAATTTAAAAAACTTGTTTTAATCACATATGGCATAAAATAGTAGCAAAAGTAATTAAATCAACAAAACTAATAATTCCAAGAAAAATATAAATTCAAATTCAAATCCAAATACATTACCAATTCTCTTATTAAAAACCATTTTCAAGATATAATTACATTGAGAATTATAGAATAAAATAATTGCAATAAAAATAATATATTCTTTTTACAGTACATTCGCATTTCGCCTACAATTAACAAGTTTCAAAACCTACAATGAAATAAACTCCTTAATTCTTGGACGATGCATCCAACTCTACACCTGGAAAATTGTTTAACAATTGGGATGGACAAATATATCTAGAAGGGACTTACAATAATTCTAAACAATAAAAACCTAAAGATATATATGATCATAAATACTTTCGAGTGATAATTAGATAGGTAATGTGCCCTTTTTATATTAAAAATAAACATACATAAATATATCTTTTTCCCAAAAGTCCCACTTTGACATTTCAAGAAAAACTCATTTCTTATCTTTTCACCTTGTCATTAGTGATTAAAAAAAATTATTCACTTTCAAAAAGAATTCTACACTGAATCAATTATACACACATTCTAACCGTTAACCAAAAAGGACCATTGTATTATCCAATGCCGACTCACTAAAATACAACACCAAATATATACACCAACATCTATCATATTAACAAATGATTAAGATCCAACTCATTATAACACTATTCCAACTACACAACTAACACAATTCCACTGTGTTCACACATTTCTACGCAATCATGCAAGTAAACAACGAACAAAATCACGTTTCACAACCAGTTTCGTCAAGTCATTCCAACACAGTTTATCGGGCGCTAGCCAAAACGAAATTGGAACTTATCTCAAAGTGCCATACTTTACCCAAGGCTAACCAAAAGGAATGTGGAACCTCCATATAGCCCAACAGTCCACACTCTTTACCGAGTGCAACTAGAAGGAAAGCGGAACTTCTGTCAATGCATCACGTTTTACCGATCACAAGCCAGAAGGAAACGTATCTTTCGTATCATTCAATATCACACGATTTACCGGGCACGAATTGGAAGGAAAATCGGTATCTATGTCAAAGTGCCAAGCTTTACCAAGTTCTATCCAGAAGGAAACAGACCCTCTATGTAGCACTTTCATCTATCAACTCATCATGTTACCACATCATTCTAAGTTATGAACTTAAATCAACATCATATAATACATATAACTCATTCTACAATAATCAATACTATCATTCATTGATAGCCAATGATAAAACCTCTACATAATGAAAGATATAATTATTTATAACGGCACAATGTGCTTCTCATGATGTTTCCACATTTCCATATCATCAATAATTAACACATAAACTAAATTAATAGCAACCACTTACTTCTTTCTTTTCCCATATTACAATTCTAACTTCACAATAATTAATATGACCTCAACAATTATAAAATCGATCAAAACACCAACTCTTCTAATATCTCATAACATCAATTAAAATTTAGGGCTTTTCACTTTAATCATAATCAATATGTTTCATTAACTTAAATCTTTTATAATCAACACTATGACATGAGTTAATTTCATTAGCTCAAAACTCTAACATTTCTCAAAACATGCCTTTCAAAAATCTCTTTTAAAAATCATGATTTTATGCAATAAAAAATACCACCCGTCTATCTACAGAAAGGTATTGAAAAGAAATAAAGAAATCCTACCTCAAGTTTTTGGAAGAGGGAGAGAAGAAAACTCCCAAATATCAACATCGCTGGATCTTCGATTCAACCTATCAAAATATAGCCCTCAGTGTGCTTGCCGATTTGGTCCAAAGAACTCGTATCAAATACTCTATGGATTTTGATAGATCAGAGAGGATTTGTGAATTTGGGGAGAATTAGAGAAAAGAGAGTAAATAGATTTTAAAGAGAGAGAGAGAGAGAAGTCAAAGAGTTATGAGAGAAAAAGGAGCAATGGGTCTATATATAGTACAAGTATAGAAGTGGGTTTAGGCCCACAAATCTGACTAAAATAATAACTAAAAAGCGTTGAATTCAAACAGACTGCTCAAGTGATCAAAACTGCACTCAAGTGGTAAATGAAAGCTCTTAATATCTCTACTTTCCCAAATAGATCACTCAAGCGGTCAAAAGTACACTCGAGTAATGAATTGATGCTTGCAGTGTCTCAAACAATTTTAAAAAATAGAGCTAGAAGGGTCTACAGACCGCTCAAGCAGTCAAACTTGCGCTCAAGCAAACTATGCCCATTACTCAGGTACACAAATTTCGAATGGACATAACTTTCTCATCCATACTCCGTTTTCTAAATCAAAACCCCAAAAATAAGTTTTTCAATATTCTAGCCTCACATCAAGATTCAAAGTATAGAAGGAAAAAAAACGACAAAAGTGTGAAGATTACTCAAAAATAATTATTCAAATTTGGAGTTTTTGGTCAAATCTTGCCCAACCATTATGGTAACGCCTCAACCAAAGGTCAAATATTGATTAAGGAGGTTCTCAATTATGTTAATCAAAGAGTCAAAAACAATTCTATCATACCAAGGAGTCTGAAGAGCTACATTCCCTATTATTTAAAAAATAAAATTTTACTAAAATGATTTTTATTTTTTAAAAATACTATTGTTACATCATCTTTATTAATATATATATATATATATATACACATTAGATAGTCTCGAAATACCATGTGATAATGTCTATGTGGTGCTCCTAACGAATGTGAAATCACAAAATACATTAGGTGGGTCATTATTTATTTATCATGTAGCTAATAAAAGTGTGTTAGTATGGTCTCACTCATAATGGTTGAGAGCACAACGTGAACAGTACCATAAGGAACTACTAAATAATTACGCTTTCTTATATGATATTTTATATGAAACTTTTGTTTGCAGATTACATAGGACATTTTTTTTTTCCAATAGTTTTTCTCTCGGGCCTGTGGAATATTTGCTAAAAAAACTTGAGCCATTGGTTTTGATAAGATATAATGTATGCCAGTATGTAAACACATAATAGTAGCTGCAATAATGACTCTCCATTTTATCACCTTCTATTGTGAATTCATTCTAAAACCAATCAGACTTTTACTCTCATGCTTTTCTTGGTTTGTTTGTATGTTTTTCTAAATCGAATATAATATTGTTTCTTGCTTGTTTCCACAGGGAAACAATGCCTATAGGCGAAATCATTCTCACTGCTTTTATTAAGGTATTGTTTGAGAAGTTGGCCTCAATTGACCTACTGAACTTTGCTCGTCAAGAGCAGGTTCACACTCTCTTCAAGAGATGGAGTGGAGAATTAATTGAAATTCAGGCATTCTTGGATGATGCGGAGGAGAAGCAAATAGAAAATAAAGCCGTGAAAATGTGGCTGGAGGAACTCACTGACCTAGCTTATGATCTGGATGACATACTAGACGAGTTTGCCACTGAAGCTTTACAGCATAAGTTAACAGCAAAGTCCCAAGCAGCCAGCACAAGCAAGAGCAAGCTACAAGCCATGATACCTACATGTTGTAAAGGATTCAATGCAACAACACTTTTGTCCAATTTTATGAAGAGTTCCACTTCCAAGATAGAGGAAATCACTGCCAGATTGCAGAGTATTTTTGAAAGAGGAAGTCAACTTGGTTTACAAAACATTGCTGCAGGAGAATCTACTAAAGCTTGGCACAGACCACCATCTACATCATCTTTCATAAATGAACGTTGTATATATGGCAGAGACAAGGAGAAAAAGGACATAATTGATTTTCTCTTAAGGGATGAGTCAAATGATAGCAAAGTAGGTGTAATACCCATTGTTGGTATGGGTGGGCTTGGCAAGACCACCCTTGCACAGATGGTATACAATGATGAAGTGGTGAACAAGCATTTTGATTTGAAAGCATGGGTCTGTGTTTCTGATGAATTCGATACTATGAGAATATCGAAAGTAATTCTTGAATCTATTACTTCCAAGGCTTGTGAATTTAAAGAATTGAATCAAGTTCAAGTTCAATTAAAGCTGAATTTGATTGGAAAGAAGATTTTAATTGTTTTAGATGATGTATGGGACAAAAAATACAATGATTGGAATGTTTTGAAGGGCCCCTTTAATGATGGAGTCCTAGGAACTAAGATAATTGTAACAACTCGTGACAAAGATGTTGCATCGATTATGGGAACCATTCCAAACCATTTATTGCAGCGTCTATCGGATGATGATTGTTGGTCAGTGTTTGAATAACATGCCTTTGGAAATAGAAGCATGGATACAAATCCAAATTTGGTGTCTATTGGTAGGAAAATTGTGGAAAAATGTAAAGGTTTGCCTTTGGCTGCTAGGACACTCGGTGGCCTTTTATGGTGCAAAGAAAGAGACAATGAGTGGGAAATTGTATTGAATAGTAAAATATGGGATTTAACAGAACAAGGCAATGAAATCCCCCCCAGCTTTGAGATTAAGCTACCATCATCTCCCTTCACATTTGAAGCGGTGCTTTGCATATTGTTCTATACTGCCAAAGGACTATGAATTTGAGGAGGAGGAGTTAGTCTTCTTATGGATGGCAGAAGGCCTTCTTCAGCAACAAAATGGACAGAAGCGAATGGAAGATTTAGGAGTCGAATACTTTCGTCAACTGCAGTCGAGGTCTTTTTTCCAACCATCAAGTGGTGGTGAAAGCTCAAAATTTGTGATGCATGACCTCATCAATGATTTGGCTCAGTCAATTGCAGGATATACTTGTTTTAGATTGGAGGATAAATTGAAGGATCAGGAGCAATGTAGAAAATTGAAGAGTGCTCGACATTCATCTTACATGCAAAGCAACTATGATGCAATCAAAACGTTTGAAACTTTTTATGAAGCCGAGAATGTAAGGACCTTCTTACCATTGTCCTTAAGTAAAAATAGATATTGTTTTTTGACAAGCAAAGTTCCCCTTGATCTGTTGCTAAAGATGAAACACCTAAGGGTGTTGAGTTTGAGTGGATATCACATTGGTGAACTTATTCCAAATTCGATTGGAGATTTGAAACGTTTGCGATATCTGAACTTTTCCTACACCAATATCAAAACAGCACCTGAATCATTAGGTACCCTATACAATCTACAAACTTTGATGCTAAGAGGTTGTCTAGAATTGAAGAAATTGCCTGCGGACATAGGAAACCTAATCAACCTACGCCATCTTGATATGATTGATTCAAATTCCTTAGAAGAAATGCCACGAGGAATTGGTAAGTTGACAAGTCTCCAAACACTATCCAATTTTATTGTTATGAAGGACAATAGGTTTCAGATAAAAGAGTTGGGGAACCTTATTCATCTTGGAGGGAGACTTTGCATATCGGGTATAGAAAATGTGGTTGATACTTCGGATGCAAGAGGGGTGTGGTTAAATGACAAGCATGGTATAGATGTGTTAACAATGGTGTGGAGTAGTGAGAGCTTGGATGGTTTACAACATGAAATGGTTGAAACAGAAGTGCTTGACATATTAAAACCTCACAAGAGGCTGAAAGAGCTATACATTAGAGGCTACCATGGTATGAGTTTTTCAACTTGGATAGGAGATCCTTTGTTCTCCAATATAGTGTGCTTGAAGTTACAAAATTGTAAAAATTGCACTTCCTTACCGCCACTTGGACAACTACCCTCTTTGAAAGACCTTCACATTGAAGGAATGAGTGCTGTAAAGCATGTGAGTTGTGAGTTCTACGGGCAGTGTTGCGCCAAACCTTTTCCATTACTTAAGACACTATGCTTTGAGAATATGTCAGAATGGGAGGATTGGTACATTTTTGGAATCGACAAGGAAGTTCAAACCTTCACTTGTGTTAGTAAGCTGTCCATCAAAAAATGTCCTGAACTTGTGGGAATGTTGCCGAGTAATCTTCCTTGCCTCAAAACTCTTGAGATTATAAATTGCCCACAGCTGCTGGTTAAAGCTTCTAGCCTTATTCTCCCGTCACTCACCTCTCTGTCCATGAGTGATGTTCGGCTTCCAAGCCTTCCAGTGCTCATTGAGACATGTAATGTGCTTGAACCCAGTTCTCTTACTTGCTTAGATATTAGAAATGTTTCAATCCCTGAGTCTCTGTGCAATCCAAGCATAGATGACGAAGTGATGTTGGCAAATGCAATGTCTAAGCATCTGAGTTCAATAACTTCCTTGAGCATTGAGAAGATTCAGAAACTTGCATTATTGCCAAAATGGCTTACCCAAGGGCTTAAAGGACTCAAAGAATTGAAGATTTCCAGTTGTAAAGAACTCACAACACTGTGGCAGAATGAGGCAGGACTATAACACAGTCTCTTTGCCTTGCAAAGTTTGAAAATTAAAGATTGTCCGCAACTTGTTTCATTTTTTGAAGAAGACAAGGATGTAGAAAACGAAAGGCAACATCAAGAAGAGGGAGTGCCTTCCATAGTGAGACTTGAGTATCTAGATATACGTAATTGTGAAAAGCTGGAGAAACTACCACGGGGGCTACATACCTTCACTTCTCTTCGAGAGATGTTTATCTATACATGTCCAAGTCTGGCATCTTTTTCAGAGACAGGGTTTCCGCCTAGCCTAAGATTACTTTGGATTAAGGAATGTAAGGCTTTGTGGTCCTTACCTTGGTGGACAGCGCACGATTCTAATCTGGAGCGGTTGGCGATAGAAGGGTGTGATAATCTGGAGTCCCTTCCGGAAGAATGGGTCCACCACCCCCCAACAAAACTGAAATCATTGAGTATCAGAAAATGCGAAAAACTAGAAAGTTGGTCTTGCTTCCTCTTGCCAAACCCTAGTGTACGCAACAACAACAGCCTCCTCGCTTCCCTTGAACGTCTGGGGATAGATAGTTGGCCTGCAAGAGGAGGAATCATCTCCTCCTACATTCTAGAGAAAGGAAATTTCCTCACCAACCTCACTTTTCTTAGCATCGCGAATATGAAGATTGGTAAGCCCCTATCAAAGTGGGGTTTACACAGATTCTCCTCTCTTAAAACTCTCTGGCTTGAAGGCCCAAGTAACGTATCCTCAGAAGAAGAAGAAGAAGAAGAAGAATATTATTCGGTGTCCAGCTTTCTAGTAGATGGGATGTTGCTGCCCACCTCTTTGACGCATCTATGGATTTATGATTTCCCAAATCTGGAGAAGATATCTTCTTCCATGGAGACCATTCAAAACCTCACCCATCTTGGTTTCAGAAATTGCCATAGGCTCACATCTTTTCCCGAGCAAGGAGGGCTACCTCCCTCGCTTTTGGAACTTCGTTTCAACGAATGTCCAATAATGAAACGGTGGTGTGAAAAGGGGAAAGGCCAATATGGGGAGTTTGGGCTATGTTTTTTTTTTTAATTTATATTTTTTATCATTACAGTTTTCCCTTTTAAATATAGAAAATCACAAAGAAAACAACAAATTTGAAGGGTTGAAAATTGAAATTTTTTTAGAAAAGATGAAGCATTTGAGATGATTTTTTTCCATCAAATGTGATAAAAAGAAAAAATTGGGATAATAAAGGAATTTTTTAAAAGTTTTGATGTAAGGTTTAGAGTATTTCATATCCAATCAAACTTTTTATTCAAATTTGGAATCAAAACAGATGAAAAAATTGGTGAAGGGTTGGAGTTGGAGATGCTCTAACTTGATGAAGGTTGAAGATGAGGAGGCCAAATTAAGTTCTCAAATATATATATACATTTATTATTGAAAAACAAGGGAATTCCATTTCATGCGTTCTCGGTGTTGGTCTCTTGCCAACCAACCACTGTATTCTTCTTCATAGAGGGGTTTTGGGTCTATTTATTTTTAGTTCGGAATTTAAGGTGGTTTTGTCTTCGAAGTCCTACCTCACACCTCCTTTGCACGGGTTTCATTAATAACAATTCTTCTCATGAAGTATATGAGTTGGTTAATCCATTACATATCCTGAATGTTAAGAATTGACCTATTGAACTCATCTATCCATTATATATCCTGAATGTGATCCAATGATTTTGGCCATTGTTCACATTTATTTGTCAAATTTTCAATAATTTTAAGCTGGTTATTAATTTCATTTAACTTGACATATGTACTATGTAATTGAAGACTCATCTTTATGGCTGAACAAGTCATGAAAATTGTAAGCTTTTTTTGAAAAATTGAATACACCAAAGCATGTAACATGGTTTTACTTGACATTTCGCCTATATTTCATTTGATAGAGATTGTGTCTTCTCATGACTATTGTAGAAACTTCAAGTTTTACCATAGGTTACGGATATGGCTATATGCTTAGTTGCTTACACCGACTCCATTGTTCATATTTGATATCATCATGTTTAGGCATTATGTATCTCTATATCTTTTAGTGACATAATAACTTCTTTCGGTTTATGGTTAGTCTTGCTATCATTTTTGCATCACTGGAAGCTTATGCAAATAGTAGTTTTATGATGAAATGTTTTTTTCTTCTTATCAAAGAGTCATAGACTATTTCTTTTAGTGCTATCATCATTCACCATAAGTTTGTTGCTAACTGTGGGGATATATTTTCTGAAGTACCAACACGTGGCATGATGACGCCGATGTGTTAGCCGAGGTTCCACGTGTCGTGGTAGTTACACCGAGGTGATCTCGGAGTTGCCGAGGTTATCTCCGAAGATATCGGAATCCGAGATAATCGGATGGAGGACAGGAGTCCTAAGACAAAGAGGAGACTCAGCCAAGATAAGGATAAAGCTCTTAGGGAGTTTATCTTTATCTCTTGAGAAATCCAAAGTAAGCACTGAATTGGAGTCCATAGAAGTCATGCTTCTAGTGGGACTTGGATTGAGTTAATTATAAAAGAGAGGCACCCCCGTGGGTCTAAGGTACGCAATTTATGTTTTGAGCAATAAGTTTAGCACTTGATTATCTTTGAGAGATATACTGACTTGATCGTCGGAGTGCCCCCGGGTGGAAGAACCACCGCCGGAGCCTATTCTTTCTGTTACAGGTTAACTAAAGCCATCTATTCTGCCGGTGCTCTCCAGTTGATCACTAAGACGGGCAGTGTGGTCAGATTTTTACTCACACAACTTGGCGCCGTCTGTGGGAAGAAGGAAGAATAGATGGCCAGTAACGGACAGAAGGAAAAGATTGGGGACGACACTCCCACTGGGAATGGCAGGCCAATTGACCTTGACATTGAAGAAGACAACCACAACGCAGAAACCCGTGACCAGGGTCACAATGAGAAAGGCATCGTCTAGGAGGGCGACACTTCAAAGAAGACAGACCAAGGAAAGTACTACAATGAAGATAACCTCCAGGTATGGAGGGACAGGTGCCTACGGAGGGATGAGGAAGTAAAAGAATTGGCAGAAAAATTGGCAGACCTACAGTCGGTCGTCAACTTTATGATGCAAAATAATGTTATGCAGCCACCATACCCGCTGCAAGATACACTGATGCCAGCAATTAATACCCAGAAGGGGGAAAGGAAAACAATCCTCGAAGTCCCTCAGCACACCAGGAGCGGAAGGCACTCTCACCGACCTTCCAGGGAAGTCGTACGAGAGGAGCCAAGGCAAGAAGAATCCCAAAGAACGTATCACGCAAAGGATCCAAGGCCCAAAGAACATCGGCATGTTCGAGGGCAAGCATTATGCTTCAACACAACTCATGGGGAGAGATCGAAAAGGGCCCACCACGAGGCCAAGAGTAGTATGCCGAAGAAACTAAAGTCAGTAGATAGCCGAGCTCCTGGACGGAGCAAAGAAGACTTGAGAAACTACCTCAAGAGGAAGCAACAGAACGGAGAAGCCGAGGTTACCTCACCCGACAAGCCGAAGACACCATTCTCGGTAGAACTGGACAAATTTGAAGCGCCAAAGAGATTCAGTATGCCGAGGCTTCAAATATACGATGGTAAGTCAGACCCTAACTTCCACGTTGGATTATTCTTGAACTCAATGGCATTATACAGTGGAAACGAGCCGTTGCTTTGCAAAGTGTTCCCCTCGTCCTTTGGGGAGATTGCGTCAGATTGGTTCCACAAACTACCAAAGAGAAGCGTGAAGAACTGGGAAGGCCTGGCCAAGATGTTTGTAGCCAGGTTTGTGACGAACAAACTACAGCCCCTGAGGGTTGACGCTCTAATGGCTTTAAGAATCACCAAGGATGAAGGCCTGAGGGCCTACGCCAAGAGGTACTACGAGGTGTTCAATCGAATACCCGAATGCAACCAAGAGGTGGCGGTCGTGTCTTTTAAGAACGGCCTAAAAGATGACTACCCACTACGGAAGTCTTTGGCAAAAACATTGCCAAAAAACATGGAGGAACTCATGGCAACAATCGAGAAGTACGCCAGAGCCGAGGAAGATACGTCGGGAAACAAAGAGATAAAGCAGGAGAAGGGAAACGGCTCGCCGAAGCGAGGCCGAGGTAACAACGGGCCCGACCAAACAAGAAACGAAATTGAGAAGTAAACAGGCAGTGACGACGGTATTCGAATCCCAATCCATAAAGTCCTGGATCAAATTCGAAACCAACCCTATTTCAGGGCACCGGCAAGAGCACCAGGGGAAATTCATGGGAAGAAAACGTTGGTAGGGCATTGTGCCTACCACAATGAAGAAGGGCACCCAACTCAGGGTTGCAGAGCCTTGAAAGCACACTTAGAGGACTTAGTAAGGCAAGGCTTCTGGGGACCTGGTCGATTGAAGCCAGGACAAGGGAAGAACAGGCAAGATTGCCTCAAGCACCGGCAGCTCCGCCTCCCCAGCACAGCAACCACAAGCAGGAGGACCACGGGTAGTTAATGTGATCCACTCAAGGGTCAACGAGAACGAAGTCAGAGGGAGACCCAGAGGGTAAGACATTTACAGCATGTCTACCAAGTCGGGAAAAGAGACATCGGCCAGAAGACTGCCAAGGGCCGATGATAGCCTTTACTGAAGCCGACCTGGAATTGGTCCAACATCCGCATAATGATGCCTTGGTAGTATCCCTCCAGGTTGGGAGTGCCAAGTGAAACACATTCTAATAGATCAAGGCAGCTCTTGTGACATCATGTATGTCAGATGTTACAAGGAGCTGGGCCTTCACCCTGATGACTTGGAGCAATCCAACGGCCCGATGGTCGGATTCAATGGAACGCGACATGGCCACTGGGCGCAACAAGCATGGAAATGCAAGCAGGTACTAAAAAAGATCAAAACAGAGTTTCTGGTAATTGACACGCCCTCACCATACAACATCATCTTGGGAAGGCCATGGTTGCATGCAATGGGGGCAGTTCCCTCAACATTGCATCAACTACTGCGGTTCCCAACGAGCATGGGATT